CAGAGAGAGGTCGTGAACGATCTTGATACAGGGAACATGGATAAGGCTACGAAGCTGTTCTCTTCGCTTGATCCCTGATCTGAATTTTTTAAGTTCTGATCTGATCTGATCTGAATTTTTCTGATCTGATCTGATCTGAATCTGTCTGATCTGATCTGATCTGATCTGAATCTTTCTGATCTGATCTGAATGTTTCTGATCTGGTCTGATCTGATCTGAATGTTTCTGATCTGATCTGAATCCTTCTGATCTGATCTGAATCTTTCTGATCTGATCTGATTCGAATATTTCTATGATTATAATTATAATTATAATTATTATAATTGCAATTACAAATATAATTTAAATAAAATTATAATTGTAATTACAATTACAATATTTACAATAGTAATAATAATATTATTAATAATTATAATTATAATAAAAATAATAATTATAATCATAAATTATAATTATAATATAATTATAAGTATAATTATAATTATTATAATTATAATTATAATTAATAATAATTATAATTATATTAACATTAATTATAATATTATAATTTAATAATAGTAATATAAATATAATTAATATTATTATAACGATATTATTATATTAATATTATTATTACAATAATATAATAATATTATTATTACAATTATATAATAATAATATGATTATTATTATTATAATTTATTATATTATTATAATATTATATTGTAATTATAATTATAATCATAATTATAATTATGATTGTAATTATAATTATAATTATAATTAATTACAATTATATTTATAATTAATTATAGATATAATTATAATAATTACAATTGATTATACTTATAATTATAAGAATTATAATTGTAATTATAATTATAATATAATATTATAATAATATTAATCATATTATTATTATGATTATAATAATATTGTAATAATAATAATAGTCTTCTTAACAATTGCATTTTTATTACTATTATTTTATTAAAATATTATACTCCCTCCGTCCCAAAATGGTTGGCCAAGTTTCCTTTTTTGGCCGTCCCAAAAAGGTTGGCCATTTCTATTTAAAGTAAGCAATATGTGGCTTAAGTTAATTCTCTCTCCTCTGCACAAATTTCAACCACACAGTTTTTACTGTATTAATCCACGTGCAAGTCAACATTGGCCAACCATTTTGGGACGGAGGGAGTAACTATTATTAATATCTTTTTTTATCATATTATTATTATTAATATTATTAATAATAATTATAAAATAATAATCATAATAGTAATAACAATATTAATAATAATAATTAATATTTAATATAATAATAAAAATGATAAATCATGTTTGAACTTTTCTGATCTGATCTGATCTGAATGTTTCTGATCTGATCTGAATGTTTCTGATCTGGTCTGATCTGATCTGAATCTTTCTGATCTGATCTGAATCTTTCTGATCTGATCTGATCTGATCTGAATTTTTCTGATCTGATCTGATCTGATCTGAATTTTTCTGATCTGATCTGATCTGATCTGAATAAAATAAGAATAAGCAATAAGTAATAATAATAAGACGAACAGAACAGCACCTACATCGGACTTTTGTTGATAAAATTGGTCATAATAACTAACCCTAAAGTTTGTGTTATTTACAAAAATACCTAGAAGCAGATAGAAGCAGCCAACTATCAGCTTCCATCTTTTGGCTTAAAAGTGTTTTTTTTAAGTAGAAGTTGGTGTTTGAAAACACTGATTTCAACTTTTTTTAAGCCAAAAGTTGAAAAGTGCTTTTTTTAATCTTTCGCAAACACTGCCTAAGCCGTTGGCAACTTTTTTTTAAGGCAATAAATAACTTTTGTTTTCGCGTGCGGAATCGTATAATAAGTAAAAAAAATAAGATTGAAATTACTTTTCTGGTTGTATTTGTTGAAGTTACTATAGATGATCATTTTAGCTATTTTTAGATATATTTTTTCTTTATTTTATTAAAAAAGAATTTTAAAAAAATTTTTTTCTTAAATAAGCAGAATCAGCCAATGCAGCCACTTCAGCCAGAAGTTCATAAATTTCAACAGAATCAATCAAATCAATCGATTTTCATTTACCAAATGGGCTCCAAGAAGCCGTTGGATGTGATTTTTGAGAACTTTTCTAATCTCATTTGAATCTTTTTATCTGGTCTGAATCTTTCTAATCTGATTTGAACTAAATATTTCTGATCTAATTGAGTTTATTATTATTATTATTATTATTATTATTATTATTAGTATTATCTGAACTAAAATTTTCTGATACGATGTGATCTGGTCTTAACTTTTATCATCTAATTTGATCTGAACTTATAACCTATTTGGAACATTGTACATTTTTTTTATTTTTACTTTTTCCTACATTGGTGATAAGTGGTAATTGATTTGATCTGAATTGCATTTTTCATTTATCATAAATAGTACCTTGCTTCCTTTTTCACATCGATTCTTGTGAAAACTGATGTAGAATACGATAGTATTTCATAAAATTTTAAAATATTATTCGTTTTCTCATTTAATACCAGTTCTTAAAGCACCCAATGTGAAATAATTTATGAAAATTATATAAAAAAAACTTGTGTAAATATTTCACATGGATAACGAAAAGGTGATGTAAAATGATCTTTTTGTACTAATGAATAATTTTCACAAATTCAACTGTTTCAACATGAATTTCACTAATTTCATCATATTCAATCGATTCCGATATTACCAAATAGGTCATATACTTTTACTTTATAATTAAAACATTAGATGTTATAGATTCATGGATTTTCAGACAAGGCATGGGAGAAGACAGTAGCAAAACTCAAAGGATGTTAATGAGTTGAGTTTGGATCCGGTGAAGGTCCACCTCCATCCATTGATCAATTGTACATCCATCATTCAATCCATTTATTACTCGTTAAATATTTCACATGCATACAATTCATCTATCATCAATGATTCATTATGGTGAATTGAGTGGACAATAGATGAAATATATGTAAGTTTATTATCTTCATCCAAATTACTCTATAAATGTCTAAAACTTACTATTTCATAAACAATATTAGAACACATTAATGCTAATAAAATTATGACTGATGCTCGTAAAATATACTAATACAATAAGTCATCTCTATATATTAAATAAAAATAAGAAATCACATAAACTAAATCCTAAATAGTACTCCGTACTACTTCTGTACTTTCATCTACCACAAGTTCATTCCCTATCAAGTTAATAAAATAAAAAGTAAACAAAAAACATGAAATGGTGAATTGGTGCTTAATGATAAAACAACAATGACAGATGCGGCTTATAGTGACACAATAATGAAGACAATGCTTGGATCATATAGAGGACATGGGTTGTCGTGAGCAGAAGCTGATTATGTCTACATGCCATTGAACACGGCAATGCATTGGATACTGTTGGTCTTAGACATTAATGGTGAGCAAATAAGAGTCTATGATTTCCTAAAGAGAAGGGGAGATTCATTGTCAAGCATTAGGGCATTCATCCTTGCTTGGAGACTTTCCTACCAAAGGTGATGGAAAGGTTGGGTGTTTATGACAAGCGGCCAGAAGCACATATTGGAAAGGGATAAATTCGAATAGAGATGGTCTGTAACTGTCCACAACAGGATGATTGGTATGTGTGGCTCAAATATTATATTAGTAACATAGTTTAATATATTATGCTTGTTTACCTTTATATTAAAGCATTTATGTCTATACAGGGGCAATTGTGGTATGTTTATCATAAAGTTTGCTGAATTTCTAATGATGGGTAGAGAAGTGACTGAAGTTTCAAACCAAGACATGGAAAAGTACCGACACAAAATGATGACAGAGCTGCTGATGTATGCATCACGAGGAAAGGAGTTGACTTAATATGTTCTATTGATATGTACTTGGACTAAGATGATTTGTAATGAATAAGTGTTTCGAAAGGAAAGAAACTTGTAAAACATCCATCGTTTGGTCATTAATACTTGTTCTTAAATGTTGATAACATTTCATTTGAAATGCTTGTTCATGTTTTATTTGATCTTTTTGGGTGTCATATCAAATGCTTGTTCATGTTTTATTTGATATTCAGTTCAAGTATAATATCTGCTGAAGTGAGGATTGAAGTGCATGATTAGACATTAATTAGTTGTTAATAGCAAATGTGTAGACATTAAACTTGTACAACCAAACTAAGTACAACAACTAATACAAACGTATAAAGTAAAGCAAATGTGAAACTTAATAAATTAAACTACTGAAGTGATGTGTTAATATAATTATCATTTTAAGGTATAATACACGTTACATGATATGAATAATGTTTTTTTTTTTGCAATTGATATGAACATAAAGTTAGTAAACGTAGAAAAGGTATTTTGATAGTTGGTATTATTCATAAAGGTGTTTCAATATATAAATATGCAATGCGTTTGTTTTGAACATTAAATTAGTATAATTTCGAGATATGTTTAGATTACTAAGTAGGAAAAAGTGGGATGGTATAATTTTAGTGTACATGCAAAAGTAAGGTATGTGATAGTTATTCATACTAGTGAAAAAGGAAAACAAATCATAAGAGACCATTATAGATGTCACTGTCAAAGGCTTGAGTAACAAAGACTATAATTAAGGTCTTCTTATACACATTAATCAATACGTAAGTAGACAATAATTTGCATCCATATCAGCAAAAATTGCTTGCTTTTTAACAACCAATAAAGTGAGTATGAATAACAAAAGTACATATAATGAAACTCCAAAGGTATTCCAATGAAAAAAGAGTCTGATGCCAACAAACCGTGGCAGCTAACAATAGTGATGAATAAAAAGAATAAAAGTCTTACAATTATTACTATAGGAAATAAAAACAAAATCACAGAAAAATATGAAACTGAAGTCCACAGAATGAGATAGGATTTGTGCAAGACTTCTTATTGTGTCCTTTCTTACACCGTGAACACCGATGTCGGGAACCAAACTCTCCAGTTGAAGAAATACGCTTCTTTTTAGGTCTATCGGGTTGGCGTGTCAAGCATGTAGGTGGCCTGCAGATTTCATACGCCACATAAGCAGGAACACCCCAATCACAACGAGAACCAAGAGGGTGAACTTCCCCTATATAAGCAGCAACCCACTCCCGTGTGAAGTAAAACTTTGAGATGTAATCGTAACACGATAAACCTCGATGATGGCCTACAACTGCAACTCCATGTACACATATAAAGTGATCAAGTTGAAATTCACAACATGAGCATGTCTTGTTTTTCAAATTAACAACGAAGCTTCTAGATGTTCTGTCCACCACCTCAAATTCATATTGACTAGCAGGATTCACCTAAAACAAAATAAAAAATACTAGCAGTAGTTACACTTAAAACATATATGTAGAAAGATGATAAGAACAAAAATATAACGTCATAAAAGGTAGAAGGTAATACACTTACACTCATAAGAGCTGCCTCGCCGTGATAAGAACGAAGTTGAGACTCAAAATGGGCATAAAGAATTGGTTTACAACTTGATGACGCATCACGACGATCGCAAAACCATTTTTGCATCCATCCACGCAAAAAAAAAAATCAGTTTTGCTATAGGATACTCACAGGGCACACGGTGCACTGAATTCACTGGCACGACATTGTTAGATGTCATCACAGAATACCTAGAACAAGTACAAAAACAGTGAGCCCATTTCTCAACACTTATTTCATCCAAATAATCACGGATACGGCAATCTTCTGCATCTAATAAAGCCATATACTCTTCAAATTAAGTAGGACTGGCAGCCCTAACAACCTGATTAAACTTCCATGCAAGACCTGTAGTAGACCCCTTGAACTTTGATCTAATATTTCCTAGGATATGGTACGCACAGTAGCCGTGTCCAGCATGCAGAAACACCACTTTTGTTGCATGTATAATACCATCGACCATCGTGACGATCTGAAACAATATATATATACAAGTCCTCCCTATACGCAAGACACTCCTTCAGTTTCATAAAAAAACAAGTCCATGTTTTTCTTCGCTCAATATCAACCACACCAAACGCCAAAGGGAAAATTTGGTTGTTAGCATCTTGAGCACATGCAGTCAGTAATGTACCCTTGTAATACGCTTTCATAAGCGAACCATCAATAATAAGAACTGGAAAACAATGTTTCCAGCCTTGAATCTAAGCATCCAATGACATGAAGAAAGACTTAAATCGATGCACACCAACATCTAACAAAATCAATGAACCAAGATGTTTCTATTTAAGAACATATGCAATGGAGGGTAACAATTGATATGACTGCTCATCTGAACCCATCATCTTTTCTTGAGCTTTCTTGTTTGCAAGCCAAGCTTTTTATACGGTATAGTCAAATCATAATCTCTATTTAAATCAACAATAATATCTTTTGGAGCATAAGGTTTCCTAGATGCATCCGCATACCGGTGTTTGATGAGTTCAACAATTATTTTTTTGGTAGCTTGGCGGTTGGGACCTTGCCTCACATCCAATGAGCATGTATGCACTGAATCAAATCAGGGAAATTGTACAACAGTAAATAGCATTAAAAAGACAGCAAGTAGACAATAAGTAAAAAATAGTACGGAGTACAACATAAGATTTTAAATGTGCAGTTGAGTAACATTAATGAATAAATGACCTTCCTATTTGAAACATTTGGCATCCATCCAACCTCACTGCACGTACATCCCAATCACAAGCCTCATCATCAACACAAACGACATGCAAGAATTTTCTAGTTGATGTCCTTGTCGTGTATTGGAAAAGATTTAAAATGGCATACATCTTCAAATGATGGGATAATGATCTCTTATCCTTGTAGATAGACTTTGTAGCAATACGAGTATGATGAAAGTGACAGATTACTTGGATATCTTGAAAATCATGAAAATAGTCTAAATCAGAGTGTTCATTACCCGCAAGACCTTCACCGTCTGAAGATGTAGGTGAAGAAACTTCATTACTAGAACCAGAAACGTGTGTAGGTAATGGATTTGTATCACCAGAGTGAATTGAAATATCAGCATTCGTAGCATACATATCCAAAGACATATCTTCAGTTTGAGGGGAAGAAACATCAAATGTGTGATGATGCATGACAAAAGCGTCTTCAAGATGCCCAAATTCACCATTTGGAGACACATTTAAATCAAATGCAAGTAGTTGCGAAGAGAAGTGGGCAAGAGTAGACACAAATAGCGGAAACAACTCAACACACAATGATACTTGGCACAATTAGGTTGTGATTTTTTAAGAGCCATGTAAAAGAACAAACTATAATCATCATTAACAACAACTAGAGGAGGACAATCTTCAACCAAATAACTAATTCTGATCCGTTCATATGCATCAAAAGCACCAATGCATGAATAGACCAAAGCAATAAAAGGAATATACAATTTTTCATCCAGAACTATGGTCACCAATGCATGAATAGACCAAAGCAATAAAAGGAATATACAATGTCTCATCCGGAACTATGAGACCACAAGTTCTTTTATTACAAAAAACATGGGAATCATTCCAACTTCCATCCACCTTTAGCATAAGCAGCATTTTAATTCGGATAAAAACAGAGAAATAAATTTAAACAAAAAGTTCATCACATAATAAATTCATGTGAATATGTAACTGTGTGATTACAAAATAGATCCATATATAATATATTTATGTCTGAACAAATAAATGCAAAAACAAATAATAACCCAAGCAGCAACAAAACAGTAATAACTTCTAAAGTGAAAGGTATAAGAACAAAACACAGAACAACTAATCAATAAATTAAAGTCAGAATTATAAGAACAACAACAGTGAACGAATCAACATATTGAAGATCAAAAGCTATTGATGCAGAAGAATGTCGAAGTACATCATACAAAAGTGATAAAATGAAGACAAAAATTCCAAGTGTTTTAGAGATAATTTCAGAGAAATATAATGTGAGATTATGAAGAAAATTTAATGACATAATTCATAAACAAACTGAAACTCCAAGATAGCGAACTAAAAAATGTAATCAGAATGAAAATTCGAACACACAACATGCAAACTTACAACAGAAAATTCACAGCAGGAACGATCCACGAATTGTGATGAAATTGAGTAGGAATTTCGCAGATGACGATAACTCCGATCCGAATGAAGATTATGATTCGGGATTGATGGAAATGAGAGAATTCTCTAAATATGAGTAAAAACGTTTTGAAATTTCAAAATAGGATTATCATGTTTTTTATTCCCTGAATAGGAGTAAATTTCTGCCAAGTTTGGCATTACTAGGCTTTAAAGTAGTTTAAACATGTCATTTTTTTTCAAACTTGGCAGATTACTCCTATTTAAGGAATAAAAAACATGATAGTCCTATTTTGGAATTTCTAAACGTTTTTACTTTTATTTAGGCCAATTTCTGTCACACTTAGAGCTCTTCAATGCTAAAACGTCAACAGTGCATACGTGGCATCAGAGATAGCCAATCTAAAAGCAATAAATAAAATATCTATCTCCTTATTTGAAGGATTTTATATCATTTTGGTAAATTTTTCTTCACAATGTCAAGCACAATGTGTAGATGTAGACATTGTTGTTGACATTGTAGCAAAAAACCTTCCAAAAACACATAAGACCGTGAAAAGAATGGGAGAAAAATATCATAAAATCAATTTTATTTTGTCTATCTCTCATGCCACACGTGCATTCTGCCCATTATAGCTTTGTAGATCTCTTACTTACTTACCTTTCCGGTCCTTTACCCCTCCTAAGTCCTAATACTCCGTCCCTTTCTCTCCCCTTCGTATCTTCATTCCTCCAACGAATTGAAACTTTGCATCGAAGGCCTAATCGTCGTAGCCAGCTGCTCTAATCAACCTTCCATCTCCGCGTATCGATTTTCTCAACTAGGTACCTCAGCCGCCGCCTTCCTCCGCAGGTACCTCATATTTCCCTCGTGAATAGAGTGCAAGGTTTCTGGTGCCTCGCAGAAATAGAATTCTACAGCATTAGTGAGTTCCTCACCATTTCTGAGGTGTTATGTGCATTTTTTCGCACCAATTGCAGTTATAGAACTCTACAATGTTTCTGGTACTGATATTTAGTTAATTCTACGACAATAGTGAATTCCGGAACTCCCTATTGAATAGGAGTACAAGGTTTCTGGAATTCTACTGTTAATAAGCTAGTTTAAGTGAAACATGAGGATATTTCATGTTAATCCTTGTGGTTCTGCTTCACTTCTGGAACTTTTAAATGAATAGGTTGCATGATTTTTATTAAAATATCTCGTATGTAACATATGTTGATCAATAGGAATTTCTTTTATAGAGTAAGATTCACCTGCAGCTTTCTTTCTCACGGGGATTGCTACATTGTGATGCAGCAAAGTGCTTATTTTACATGATTTTATTGGCTCTGTGTTCTAAAATAGTTTTAGAAAGTTTATTCTGTTATATAGATATATCTATCTGGTTTAAATACTATGGCTAAATTTATCTTGTTTGAATACTATGACTAAATTTATCTTGTTTGAATACTATGACTTGTACTTACCTTGTAAAACTATTGTATGTTTGAATACTATGACTTCCAAGGCCAGGGAAATCTCACAAATGGGGGGAATGCCATCTATACAAAGTTCATCAAGTGTGATAATTACTGAGCAATTACCAAAAGATCGAAGTGCCCCTGCCGCTGCCGCTAGTGTGTCGGACTCTAAGCCAAAAAAGAAGATATGTTGTGCATGCCCAGAAACTAAGAAGTTGAGGGATGAATGCATAGTGGAGCATGGGGAAGCTGCTTGCCAGAAATGGATTGAGGCTCATCGCAAATGCCTTCGTGCAGAAGGCTTCAATGTTTAACCACCCTTAAGTGACGATTTACACATACCAGATTGGATTGGATAGAATCAATGAGTAATGCTACTGCTACATCACACTTCTGTTTTGCTTTCCCAGATACTCCGTATAATTTTGCAAAAAAATCAGCAATAATGATTGATCAGTTAAGTGAGTTTTCTTGACTCATCAATCAGTAGAATCCAATATCTCTGTTTAATTGCAAAAAAATGACTTCTACTTACGATTCATCAGAAGGTTGGTTTTTTTATCAATAAATTTCTTTCAACAGACGTAGTACCACACACCTAAGAGCCGAATGTCATGAATGTGTTATTCAGCTTCAATTCTTACTCATTCATTAGCAATATTAATTCAAGTTAGAGCTATTTTTTTCCCAATGAGATGGAGGTTGTAATGTGCTAACAACATAAGTTCACTAAACATTTATGTTGTAATTATAGTCCAGCTTCTCTTGGCATTTTCAGAACATATATACTTCCAACAACAATATGGGTTTAATAGGGCATATGATAAGGCTGCCATATTCCAAATGGGACAGAGGCATCAACTGCAACCAGAAATATAAGTAACCAATAAAGAACAAGATATGAAAAGTTCTTAACCAAAAAACCAACGCAAAGTAAGCATATTCAATGATAATGAATTAATGATGATGATGATGACGACGACGATAATAGTTATTATTATAATAATAACAATAAAAATAACAATAACAATAATAAGAATAACAAAAATAATAATAAAAAAATAGTAATAATAACAATAATAATAATACTAGTAATAATAATAAAAAAAATAGTAATAATAATAATAATAACAATAAAAATAATATTGTGGAGTAATAATAATAATAATAATAATAATAATAATAATAATAATAATAATAATAATAATAATAATAATATTTTAAATATTTGTTGACACTTATGTTCGATTTTACATTTTTAAAACATTTCTAACTGAATTAACATTTTTCAAACTTTCTGAAAATTTAGAACTTGTCTATCTTATGATCTTTTATTTCTATAACACTGAATTTATATTTTTAGACTTTTATGATTTTCCTTATTAATTTTCATATTTTTTACATTTTATAAAATTTAAAATTTTTGTTTCTTGTTTTGCTTTTTTTTTTTAAATGAGTAATTCCTTATATTTCTATTACTTTTTTTTAGTATTATAGAAAAAATGAATAGAAGTTACTACGTAGTATTTTCATGTTTTAACCATTTTTAAAAATTTATACACATTGGTTTCATTTTATACAAGTTTTTACTTTTATTTTACCTTTAACTTATTACTATTTCTAATTTTTTATTAAAATTTCAACAAAGGTTTTGCTGAACTTATAATTTTTAGCATTTTTTTACATAAACCTAAAACGCCGCTTAGGGTTTAGGCGGACAACTCCGCCATGGAGATGAAGACTGCGGCGATCGATATTTCGTTGGTCAAAGAGGAGGAGGAAGAGGAGGACTGCATCGTCCTGGATTCGCGCCCTGTCTCTAGGGTTTCACCACTAGAGTTTTACTTGTCCGCTATCGTCTTTTGGGGAGGAGCGGTGCCGTCTTCCGGCAATTCTTAAATATCCATAGTCTGATACACCTATTTCTTAAAAATTGAAGTGAACAATTGTGCTTGAGTTGTTAAAATTTTATAAAATTAATAAAAGAACAATAATTTTTAAAAAAAGGTTGGAGTGTCATTTTTATCCATTTCACTAGTTGTGTTACGCGCGTTGCGCGATGGGAAGATGTCCAATAACATGCATGACTTAATGACGCTATCATGGTTTCATGTAATATTTCTTCAAATTCACAATTTAAAAAAGTTGCAATCTTCACTCAAAATGACCTAAAACATAAATTCAACATGAGAATCTAAATTAGACTATGAATTGAAAAGAAGTTTCATATTAAATAAATTACAAACATCAAGAGTGCTTTAGATAGAATTTCTCTTTTCGAATTAAATATAAACAAACAATAAAATTACAAATTGTGAGCCTCTCGATTTAAACAATTACATCTTAAGTTGCAATTTTCATATACAATGTAAACTGATTCACAACTACACTGATTTTATGATTATTAGCAAGAAAACATGTGAGAGATGAATCGCTTCTCATGTTGAAATTTAGGGAGTGTTTGTAAGAATAAAAAAACGCTTTTCGTCTTTTAGTTTTAGAAATTTTAAATGTGTTTTCAAGTGACATATTATGTTTAAATTAAGTACTAAAAAACTAAAAATTGGAAGC